AGGGGTTAAAACCAAGCGACTGCTGATAAAAAGCTCCGCATTACAGCAGCGCTTGTTGAAAGCAGAAGGAAAACCGAGCCAAGCTGTCCTGCCACTGTGGGAGAACTCCATGTTTGACTCTCACAGCAGCACGTTACACCCTGGTGCTGCTTCTCACCCACCCCAGACCCCCCAGCAAGGCAGAGCCCGAGGGAGCTCAGCTGCCCCAAGCACGCTCCCCAGAGCAATGTGGCTCTCCCTTCAACGCGAGGCACCCCGGGACCTCAGGGTCTCTTCATCAGCTCTTCTTGCCCGCTCTGCCACAAAGGAGGGGGACACCTTCACCAGAGGACCTTGGCGAGGGGGTCAGAGCAGCACACAAACACACCCAGCTTTTCACAGAGCAGGACGAGAGGAGACCCAGGCAGCCTCTCCTCAGACTCTCGCAGGGTTGGAAGCCTTGGAAGAACACAATGACCGTTGCTATCTGCTGGCAGATAGCGCAGGGCTGCAGCAGGCTTTACTTACAAACTCAACACAGAGGCATTTCCAGGCCTTTTCTTGTCCTGCCTCAAAAAGGCTCCAGGAAGAGCCAACCACCCTTGTGCATTTTTACGGTTTATAGGGTCAACATTTCTACAGAGAGTATCACATTAGAAAACATCCACTCAAGCACAACATCAGTAGCAGCCAAGGAGGAAGGTTCAACATCCAGAGCAAAGCTGGTAACACCACAGCGAGAAACAGGGGCACACAGAGGCCTTTAGCTGAGACTTCAGAGCCTTTCTGGAGGTTTCACTCCCTCCGTCTTCAGCCCACGAGGCACATGGCCTCTTCACTACACACAGCACTTGGGTCCAGCACCGCCCTGCTAAGAGATAACCAAAGCCTGGGCTCCCCGCTGCCAGTTTGTCCCTGCTCTGAAACCACCACCCTCACTACCAACCCCCAACTCGCTCATCTCACTGAAAGAGAAGATGAACTTTCCTCCTGGATGCAAAGGGCAACATTAGAAAGGATGTTGCTTTGGGCCATACTATCCAAAATTCCTTACTTTTGCTTTTGTTTTAAAGGTTCTGTTGGCTGAAAAACCCAAACAAAGCAGCAACACAGAATATGGTCAGCAATAAAATAAGTTAGTAGAATGGTACAACAGGACAGAACACATTCACCAGCGATGGGATTCCTCCTCATCCAGCCCGTTACCGGCTCAGGCTGCTAGCCCCCATCGGCAGAGAGCAGAGGAACGGATCAGAACCGGCTGCCACGGCACGTACCAAGCTCCTACCAGAAAAGAGCCGCTGTTGCTCTTACAGAGCGGCCCTGCTCGGTACACGAGTAACACACATAACGGGGGGGGGAGCAGATCATCTTCAGGCATTAGATGATTTGGGGAAGGATTACTACACAGAGTTGATTGGCAGCCTGTGAATGCATAAAGCCATTTCAGCTGTAGCTCCTGATAAAAAGTTCACTGCAGCCTCCCAAGCCAGGCATTTGCTTCAGATACTCCAGTTCCACGTCACTCCAAATTAATCCGTGCCGCCTCGTTTCCCCCCTCAGACTTCACGGACGTCGATGTCTTGAAGCTCCACAGCTCAGCAGAGGGGTGGGTCACTGCGCCAGGCTTCCCTTCTGACCTGTCCACAGCTCTCGGAGCTCCACTTTGCAGCCGAGATCCCTCAGCGCAGCTTTGGCCACGTCATCGCAGTCCTTGTGCGTCGCACGAGCTTCTGTTATGAGGTTCTCAGCTCCCATCTCCAAGATGGGCTGAGAAAAGTCCCGGCTCCGGGAGACCAGGTTGCGGATCAGCATGCAAGCCTGTTTCTGAGGAGGGAGGTAAGGAAGAGCTATTACCATCTTTTGGAGGGAATTACCATCCGTGTAGGATGCTGGCACACATGGAGCAGCTCTGGCTCCCACTAAAGAACCTTTCCTGGGTCACCAAATGCGAGATGCTGTAGACAGCAACAGACAACTTCCTGGAAGGATAAAACCCATGGACAGAAGTACGGCTGCTACTTCACACTGAAGTTTATACAACAAAACCTCCTGCTTCTGTCAGAACCAGCAAATCTCAAACACCAGCCAGGTAATACCAAGTACTTCTTTAAATAATGCCAAGACAGGATTCTTCAGTTCAGCAGACCCACCTTGCACCCCCCCTATATGCTGTTCAAGGCACCCTCCCTGGCACTTAGTGTAAGCTACTCTTTCAGAAAAGGTGTTCTATGCAATCTTCTTAACGCTCTAGAGAGCACAAAAGTGGGCACAGAACCTACTGAGACTTGCATGAGAAACCAGAATCTAGCTTCTTGCCATACAGGTGTTTTATTCGACTTGAGAATTGATGGCAATGTCTCCTATAGGACAAATAACATCATAGCACAGGCTGGGGCTGAAAGAACCTATCCTCACCCTGCTCCTTCAAGTAGGAGGAGACATAACACCTGGAAGAGAAGCTTGAGTTGCTTGAGGCTGAATTCAGGTGGGTTTGAAACCCAAACTAAATTTTGCTCCGATCACATCAGGGTGACAGCTGCAGGGAGTCCTGCATTTAGACGCTGCGTTCCCAACACTTGGAACCTTTTGGTATTTGTCAGGGACAGAATCCCACGGGTGCAGAGAACACAGCCAACACCGATCCTGAACAAATAATCAAGTGCCCCGAGGCAAATACCTGCACAGCCACTTCTCGGGGGTGTGCTTTCATGGCCTGAAGAGCTGCCAGCGCCCCTCCGCCTTCCATGATCACGTTACAGTTCTCGGGTTTGCGCAGAGCCAGCATGCACAAGGCTGCACAACCTTGCTCACAGATCTGCGAGACAAAGGGGAAGAGACACTCACTGGCTGAAAATGTTGCTTTAAGGTAAAAAAAAAAAAAAAAAAGCATTTGGAGTTTGTTTCCGTTTCTGGCAAGTTTTTAAATTTATTTTTTTTAAGTTTCTTCCACTGAAACATCCTGCTTCTCCGGCACATGAGCCAAGCTTTACACGCCAAAGGTGGAAAACACTGTTCAATATCCATCTGATTCAAAAAAACCCACCCCTAATAACGTGGATTTACCTTTACACTTACACAAATATTGGCCGAAGCGTGCGCTTAACCACTCTACAACAACTGACTGTTACAGGTTCAACACGTTACTCGGCTGCAAGCATTTCACAACTGTACTTGGAGCACAACAAGCTGTTTATCACACGTCAGAGCAACGCCGCGGGCTGTTCCCCTGCACAACCAAGTTGCACTGTGCCATTTGCAGCCTGAACCCAATCTCCATCCCCAGCCCTGGTGGGACCCGGTCAGCCCCCGCGGCGCGTACCTGAGGGTTGGCGAGGTGATGGCTTATGGCGAGCACGATGAGGTCCGTGCCCCCAGCACTAACGATGGCATCTTTCACGTCGTCATTGCCCGCCACGGCTCGGATGGCACACAGCACCTGCTTCACCACGTCCTGCGTTCATCGAGAAAAAACGGCTTAGAAGGCTGCAGAGAGGTTTACAGACTTCCGAAAGCCAAACCAGAACGTCCCCCAGCAACCCCATTCACGCCGTTGTCGTTCCCAGTTATGAACAGCAACACTACTCTCAGTCGCTTGCATCTCAGGCACACTTTCTTGCTAGACAGTAACAAGGAACCTTGTTAGTTTGGCCGAGGTTTTCAAAGAAGCTTAAAGCCTCAAACACCAACCCTCTGGGGCACCTAAATCCTCTTGAAGCCCTCCTAGCTAGAACAGCGGAAAACCAGCAGCTCAGCTTTTCTGGGAGCAAGCAGAGTTCTGCTCACGGTAGTGCAGAGGGCTGAGGAAGTAACTATGAGCAAGGGGCTCAGAATGACCGCGTTCTTATCTGACAGTTCTGTGTGTAAGGCTGTAAATAGGGGGGTAAACGGAGATGGGTGGTTGGGTTTCAAGCCTAACTGCACCTAAAACGATGCGTAGTCTAAGGCCCATTCACAGCCAGGACTTTACACGGAAAAGCACGCCCTCCTGCGTTGCCTCCACTCCCAAGTAGTTTCTATCACTCACCGGGTGGTCGATGCAGTCAGCCAGGAGAGCCACCATAAAATTTAAGCCCCCAAGGTCCACAATTTCTTGACAGAATTCATTCCTGACAGAAAGGCGAGAAAGGGTGGCACAGAGTTCACTGAGAACACTGGAGTTATCTGTGAATGCTGCAGAGGAGAGACGATGAATGGAGTAACTACGAGCAAGGAGGGGTGCTGCAGAATCGGGGTGGTTTACTTTGCTTCATTAGGAAAAAAAAAACCAAAAAACAGGAAACAGCGTATTTCACTTTATATATTAAAACAGCACAGGGAACAGCCTGTTCACTCTGTATCTAGACTGAGATTATCTTCTCTTGGCAAGAACGCAGCACCTCAGCAGGGAGAATGTGCCTGTAAACCTGCACTGGGCTGTAAAATACCTCCCAGAGAGACTGACAAATAGCTCTGATAACTGCCACTTTGGTGCTGCTGATAGTCTCTGGAGCACCCCTCTTATTTTTCTCTCTCTGGGCAGATTTCATCAAAAGAATTAAACATCATTTTAGTGGCAAATTTCTGAATCGTCTCTGGGGAGCTTCAAGTTACGACAAGGCACGGTTCTGAGACAAAGCACAGACGATTCAAAATTAGAATCAAGAGTCACAGGGTTAATTTTACCTTTTGCAGCTTCAATGAGGACTCTTAACCCATCATTTTCCAGCACGATCATTTTAGCATGATCGTGAGCGTGCCCGAAGGGCACGCGGATGTCATCATCAAACGTCATGATCCTGAGCGCCGAGCAGGCCGTCCGCACGACGTCGGCACTGGCTCCGTGCCGGACGATGGCTCCGGTCAGGAGGGGCAGAACTCCGCCCTTCACAAAGTCCTGACGGTTCTGCTCGTGTTTCAGGCAGGCGTGCCGGACGCACCGGATCCCGGCCAGCGTCATTTCCGCATCCTCCTGATATTCTTTCAGAGTTTGTAGCAGGAGCTCCTGGCCAGCGGAGTCAAGTAGGTCTGGCTGCCCATCCAAGATGGCAGACAGAGTATAAAAGGCTTTCAGCATCAAACTTCTGTCTCCTGAAGCCAGCTGGCAGGCAGAGAATACCACAGAATAGGCACCGTTCTGCCCAGCCAGGTAGCGGAAAGCCAGCTGTTCTTTGCACTGGTCAGCAAAGAGCACGAGCTGCTCGGCCATCTCAGCAAGGTCAGAGTCAGCAACGGCTCTCCCGAGGGAATCTAAAGTCTACAGAAGAGAACAAGAGTTAATTTTCGATCTGAACTGTGAAGGAACAAGAGCAGTTCTTTACAGTCCAATCTGTTTATTTATAATGAGTCATCTTTTAAATTTAAAATTAGCTGGGCATACCTAAGAAATGGCTGTCTTAAAGAGCAGCATTTCGTCTTCATGCACAGCACCCTCGGAGGAACGGGGCTTCAGTGATGTCACACCACCCCTGTATGCCAGTCTGACCAGTAGTGGGGGAACTGGGTCCAACCAGCACATTTCACAGAGGTCAATGCTGTGCATGAGTATTTTTATACTCTTGCTGGTGAGGGAACTGTAGTCAGTCCTTTCACCCACCCTCAGAAGAGCCAGCTAACAGCTACCACTTGTGTTCACAGATTTCTTTTGTTAAAGTTCTTCTGTGGTTTGAGTTTACCCAGCAACAGCAGAATCTCTTTCAAAGTCACGAAAGGCAGCGTGTGCATCTCCTAGGTGGAAATGCTGGCGTTCTGCACTTACGCAGGTACTTCCACCGAAAAGTGCAACCCAGCTCTTTGAACCTTCATCTTATTACTAGTTTGCAGAATAGATGTGATTAACTGCTTGGGGAAGAGCTCACAGAGAAGTGGGGCAGAGGCAGAAGTAGAAGATATGTCTCATTATTCTTAGCCTATTACTTAAGCTATTGTATAACCCTGATCCTTAGAAGACAACATAAATTTGTGCTCCTACCAGCAAAATTTCATGCTTTTGCTTCTGACCATTTTCAGAGGCAGGCTGCCGCACGGCTTTCACAATATTGCTGAGGTCAACACCTAAAAGGAATAACAAAAAGTAGGTTAATATTAGTTACAGGAGCTTGGGTAAAATTTGTCAAGTTAACCACAGTGAACAAAGATGAACTTATGGTCAAGTGTGGATCAATGCACAAAAAATCCTGAAATGCTGCTAAACTTCTGCCTAGCTGGAACGGTCAAACACATCCTGGAACAAAGCATCAGTTCTAGCTAAAGGTCAACTGGGGGAAAAAAAAAAGGAAGAGTTTAATTTCATTGACCAAACTGCACCCTGCAGTTTCACTCAAAGCAGTTTTTCAGTCATAATTACTCCACAAAACTAGGTTACCGTTAATAGTGTCTGTGCGCCACGTCACAAGGGCTTCTGTTCAGTACTGGATGATCCATCTTTGCATGCAGGTCTCTTAAATTTTAGGATATGTAAAACGTCAGTCTGTAATAATCTGAACTGCAAAAGCAGATGAATTTACAATACCTTGGGACTCAAACTGCTGCACAGCTTCTCTCACAGCCTCTTCTGGATCCATTTCAAATTCTGTAATGTTTTCCTGCACGGCATCATCAAATGTTTCCTGCGCAATCTGTTTCGATCCCATTTTACTCGAATGGGATAAACTGCCTCCTTGTCCTGTCATTAAGATAGTCCACAACTAGTTGTGGTGCAAAACCTTCTGATATTAATCAGAAACAAAAGAAGTTACTTGCTCTTTTTCAAAACAAAAGCACAGAACTTGAAACCAAAAACACACAACCAAAGGGATGGCTGGTTTGTTCTTTTCAGAACGGGCAGAAACATATCAATTAAAACAAACAAGGAGGAATTTCAGAGGCCCAGGATTTGGCTCGGGAAGCTGCCACTGTGCTGCGGATGGCTGGGTTACCATGACACAGCTCTCGCTGCACCTCGCCTGCCACCGGGGCAGGGCAGGCAGCCTGCCCGGACACACACGGCCCTGACCTGCCCCACGCTTGAGGGCCAACACAGCCCAGAGCCCCTCGGCCTGCCTCTGTCCCCGTTCCCACAGCAGGGCCCGGTTCACCCCTGCAACCCCCTCAGCAGGCCCAGCCGGCCAGGTGGATCCCACCCCTCCGCCTCGGCGAGGCCCGCCCCGGAAAGGGCCCGGGAACGGGGGGCAGGTGCTGGGGCAGCTCCCGGGCCCACAACGGGCCTCGGTTCCCCTCACGACCCACCTCTGTCCCTCGCCACCCGCAGCGCCGCTCCCTGACGGGCTCCTCCCGCCTGACAAAGAGC